CTAGAAATTCTATCGTTTCTTTCTATATACTTCGGGGTAAATACAGACACGTGTAACTTTCACGTGTACGTGTAGGAAAATGTCAGGTCTACCACCCTGTTTAATAGCAAGTTTTTCCGATCAGAAACGGCCAAGAAACAGCAGAAAACCAACGGAAATTTCAAAAAGTGTCTCTAATTACCCCGAAGTACTCGATCTGTCATGAAACACTGAGAAATCATTTTAAAATCACTCTATCATAAAGTACTAAAAAACGGTCTAAAAACGGCCCGTTAACTGGCTGTTAACGGCCCGTTTACGGTTTGAAGCTACTAGTATGTATGTGTCATGAAACATTCAAAAATCATTTAAAGATCACTCTAGCATAAAGTGTCGAAAAACGGCCTAAAAACGGTTCGTTAACTGGCCGTTAATGGCCAGTTGATGGGAAAGTTCTTTGTGAATAATAAATGGTCTGGAAACATTCAGCAAACGGTCAGTAAACGGTGACCGTTAACTGAGCGTTTTCTGATCGTGGACGTTTTCAGACGATTTTTCGACCGTGAAACGGCCGCACTAAAAACGGCAGGTTAACAGCTTGTTTACTGGCCGTTTTTTGGGTGAACGTTACCGCGTCGTTTTTTGTGTGACCGTTTGCTGGACGTTAACGGGCCGTTTTCTTGGATCTGGGTAGAGATTTCTCAATTGGAAATTAATACGACGAATATTCTGATACTAACTGAGTTTCTCATCCCAACCTGAATGTACACCACTTCATCCGTATCCAGAAGATTTGATACCGCATTTCCGAATTTAGTGGCTATACGCTTGAACATCTTTTTTCAAAAATGAGAGATCCAAACACAATCTTTTAATATGTATGCATTTATATTGGTCCAGTTCTAAATGATCCAATTGCTTTTAAGTTCGAGTTATAAAATTTATTATATCAATAGCAGTCTTAGAAAAAGACAGTTTTCTTGCATATAACGAAACTTTCAGCCAAAAAAGTTGTTCGCAATATTTTCTACAGTGAAGATAAGATAGTGGAGTGATTCATTTATTGTTCTTCTGACAACAATGCAGAGTTGAATGATGAATTAATTGTTCTTTCAAGAACAAGGTGAGATCAGGTACGCCTTTGGAAGAAATATTACATATTAGTGTTAAGTATGACTTGCACAACCGTGGGTATTTTATATTAATCTTATCTTCCCCATTGTATTCGTTATTTTATTCGGATTGGCTACTGATTATTAAATATTAAGAGTAAAAATATGGCGTAGAATAACTCGATAGCAGACAAAAACTTACATATCTCATCATACTTTATATAGTGACTCATTCCGACACAAACTCAAAAACATTTTAAGTTTCGTACAAAACTTAACAAAAGGGTTTATCAATCGTTCTCTGATTTAGAAAAAAATATTATTCGCATTGCTGGAAGTTCTGCATAATACTTTAAATGAGTAAGGTACGTACGCCTCTGCTTCCCATAAATGATTCATTTGGTAACCAATTAGCTATAGTTCGCAAGCCTTGGGGCAAAATTATCATTATATTTTTCATTTGTCTTATGATTTTCACTGTCGTACTCGGACTAACATTGCATTATCTTATCCTTGCCTCACACTCTGTAGTGCCCAATCCGACGACTACAAGAACCACAACAATAACAACAACGGCAACAACCACGACAACAACAACCACAGCGCCGACAACAACCATGACGCCGACAACAACAACGTCAACAACCACGACAACAACAACGACGGCAACAACCACGACAACAACGACGACGACAACAACAACGACGGCAACAACCACGACAACAACAACGTCAACAACCACGACAACAACAACGTCAACAACCACGATAACAACAACGTCAACAACCACGACAACAACAACGTCAACAACCACGACAACAACAACGAAAACAACAAGGAGAACAACCACGACAACAACAACGACGGCAACAACCACGAGAACAACCACGACAACGACCATAACTACAACTACTACTGGAAGTACCACCAGAAAAGCAAAGTCGTCGGGTGAGTATTCTGTTATGATCTATTAGTATAGGTGACTTAAAATATATCCTGTGCCTTGGTATATTCAGCTGGCCGGTGTTTCGGCGAGAATACAACTG